CATGTCACTTGACCCTTGCTCAAAGTACTTAATAGTGTCCTCCACCAAACTTTTCTCCTCAACTGTTGAGATGTCTTTGAAGCAACAAAGATAATGGGTTTTGATAACTGAGCATAACCTACTTTACACCCCTTGCAACTAAACTAATTTACACCTGAGAACCGCTACTCGCCAGTTTGGGTGCCAGTGGCTTGTGTGAGCAGGAAGGGGATGGGGGTTTAATGACATGACTGGGACAATATTAGGAGCCAATTCCTACAGGCCTCGCATTGAGTACACATGAGAATAACGCAAACACAAGCGAGTCACTACAGTCCATCCAATAATCTTATTGTACTGTCGATTGTTTAACCCTTTTATATAACTTAAATTAATAACAAAAAAAGATGCTATGATACAGTATTTTTCAGAATTGTGCTGCTGATGTTGGTCTTGCGCAACGCTGACTTGTGGCGTCCCAGCACTGTTTATGTGAGTCTATTTGTACTGTTGCGCTAAAAGCAATGTAGATTAATAGCACTGTGCATTGTAGATGTACATTACCGACAGATAATGAACGTTATCCACATTCAAGTGTTTACAAAAAGAATGCATGAAGCTAGAATAAAATGTTTTTTTTAGTTTACAAGCAAAAACATTGTTTTGATGTTTTGTATGTTCAGATATTCATGTAACAAAATATACAAATTAATACCTAAATAGGGACATAGTAGTATACTTCAAGTATGATGTAAAGTTCACTTAAAAAAAACTTACGAGTATACTTGCAGTACAAAACTACTAAACTAGTAGTTTACTGAGATTATACTTCAAAGTGTACTAAAAATGCTACTACAATATTTAATTAGTAAACTATCAGTATACCTATAAGTTCACTTTTAGTATAGTTGCAGTACAAACTAAACATTTTGATGTAAACTAGTTGTGTACTCAAAGTTTACTACTGTTATACTTAAAGTATACTTTTATATACTAGAAAGTGGGCCAATTTAGTCCCAAGGAGTATTGAAATAGTACACTTACGAGTATACTACTAGTACACTGATATTTGTATACTTACTACATAAAGTATACTAAAAAATATACTTGAACTTTACTTAAGTATACTTACTAAAATAAACTTGAAGTATACTACTTTTTGGTAAGGGAAGTTATGCGCAGAAGTTTTAAGTTGTTTTCAAGAGGTGAAGTTCAGTGCTCCCTTTGAATGTTTTTTTTTTCTTTCTTTCTTTTTCTAAGCACTAAAATATCATAACTGATGTGTACACTTTGGGTTTGTGAGTTTTAGACTTTGTACATGAAGCTTTGATTCTTAAAGGGGATTTTTAGCTTTAGCCCTGTGAGTCAACAGTTTTGCTCTCTGTTTGTACCTCTGGGATATTTATGAGATGACTTTGACAATGTCGGCCAAACATGAAACTCAGCACTTAAGGCTAAGTGTGAGTGTATTGTTATGTGTTAAAGCAGCTCTGCTGCATGTAACTGAATAAATAAGGGTGTTGAACTTTTCAACTAGCCTTTGGCAAAAGCGTACAGAGATTATACATTTTCCTCACAGTTTATGCATGCATGTCATGAACCCACTCACATGCGTGCAGCACTCACACACACCATCCAAGATATCCAAATCCTATATAGCCAGTTATTTTGAGTTTAGTTAGTTAGTGACAGATTGGGAATGGACTGCATTTCCAAGAGGTACAGTACTGCAACCAGCAGTCATATGACCAAACCAAAGAAAAAAGATAGGCCATCAAACCCTTAATATGATTGAAATTATTCAGAAAAAAGCAAAATAAAACCAATGAAAAATAAACCTAAAGCAAGATAAACCTATATAAATACCAGTAACTGAGCTGCCTCTCTGACTATTGTCTACTTCGATTTCTAAGGCAGCATCCTAACTGTCATAGTTGTCTGAAATCTGATATATTTGAAACACTATATAGGCAACAACTCTGAACGCTGAGTATTTTTCATATGTTAGTATTATACTCAATGCATTTTAACAATATTTTTTTGGTATCGACTGAAACACAAGATTTTTATTTACAAGTATTTTATTTTACTAAGCTCTTCACAATGCAGTTAATGTTTTTGAATGAATTCTCTTATGTTCACCAGGACTGCATTTATTTGATTAGAAATACAGGAAAATCTGTGATATTGTAAAATATTATTACAATTTTAAGTAACATTTGCGCATTTTAATTATTTTAAAATGTAGTTTATTCCTGTGATGCAAAGCTGAATTTTCAGCATCATTACTCAAGTCTTGTGTCACATGATCCTTCAGAAATCATGCTAATATGCTGATTTGCTGCTCAAGAAACATTTATTTTTATCGATGTTGAAAACATTTGTGCTGCTTAATTATTTTTTTTTTTCAGGATTCTTTGATTATTAGAAAGTTCATAAAACATGTATTTGAAACAGAAATCTTTAGTAACAATATTTTATATATTTTTTATAAGTCTTTACTGCCAATTTTGATCAATTTAATGTCCTTTCTAAAAAAAAGTTTAAATTTCTTTCCAAAAGAATATCACTGACCCCTTTGAACTGTAGTATATATATACTGTATAATATATTGACACACAAGATGCAGCCCTTTTTTAAAAATATGTGTTTTAGCGCCATCACCTGATCAGATCTGATATAGGCTACCAGACAGGGTGAATGCAAAATATCTGAAACCGTTTCAAACAGTTTAGACACAATATCTCTCTCTGTAGTATAACTGTTGATATTAAAAGTTCAGGAACAGTCTTTGACCTCTGCCAGACCTCTCAGCATAGCAGAAATGACTTGACTCTGTGTAATTCCTCTCTCTCTTCTCCTTCTCTCCTATCTCAATTTATCTGTCCTCTCAGCTGTAGCAGAATCGATGCGAAAATATTTCAAAATTACAGATTGGCACTCTGCAATTTGACATGTGACATGTTTTCATGGTTTAGATAGTAATACATGAGAAACCTTTTTTATTTTTGGAGCTGTCTGTTTCTTATTCGTATTCTAGCCACTGTGGTGAACAGCTGTTGCTAATGTTTGAAATGTTGGTGAGTTGTTGGTTTTCACAACTTGCGGGAATGTGTAAAGCTGTATTTACACAGTGTAAGTTGCTCTTAAAGTCGTTTCACACCACCAGCCTTTGTTTGGTGCTACATTGTTTTTTCTCATGGAAAAAGTGAAATTGTTGAATGGAATCTGGCCTGCAGCAGTGTGTTTGTGTGTGTTGGTTCATGTTCCTCAGGGGAGCCTGTTAAACAGCGTCTGGTCCTTGGCCAAATACCGCCTGTTAGAAACCCAACAAATCAGCTCTCTCTCTCTCTGTTTTATTCCTTTCTCATTCAACCAGATTTGTTTTTTTTTTTACCTTCTTTCCCTTAATTCTCATTATTAGCTTTCTATCCTACCCCGTGACTGTTTTACCCTTCTTCTCCTTTATGTTTACTTTACTGTCTTATCAGATAGAGAAGGTCTGGCAGCCAGAACGTTGCTGTTCACACACACACACAGAGAGCGAGAGAGGAGTTGGTATCTTAGGTAATATAATCAGACTACTTTTAGATTACTTTTGACCTAACTCATTTATCACTTTGATTTAAATGGGATAATCTTGTACCATATTGATATAAAAATACAAAGAGTAGGAAAATATATTCCATTCATTGTTATTAACAAAATAAAGTGCATAAAACATTACAATATGTCTAGGTTTCCCAAACTGGGGTTCGTAAAGGAACTGCAGGGGGTTTGTGAGTTTAATAAAAAGCTAATGATTCATTCAAATATAAAAGTCCAATTAAAATAAATAATTATAAAATAGCAACAATCAAAATAAAAGACTTACTAAAAAAATGAAATATTTTATTTGTTTACCTGCATGGCATGTGACCATTAACCAAAGGCAGAGATTTGTGAACATGCAGATTTGTTTGTTTGATAAATCTCGGGGGGATACTTGGGAGGGGGGATAAGTTCATGTAAACTTAGTCAGAATATATTATAAGGAAAGCTACATTGAGATATATTTTTGTTCCTTGTGAACTTCTGACTCAAGTGCAAAAAGTTAAATCTTTGGTTATTTAATTAATAAAATGTATAATATAAATTATTTATATTATTATTTATATCAAACTATGTATTTTATGTATTTCTTTATTTTTACAGTTGTAATCTTTAAAAATAGGTCTCAAATGTCTCCCATTCCTGTTCTCCATATATATTCCATATTTTCACTCTTTCTGTTTGTGAACCCGTCTCACTCGCTCTGTTTGCCTGTCTTTCTGGGTTCAGTTTAGTCCAGCATGTAATTATCTTGACTGTAAACGTCTCCCCTCTGCTGTATTAATAGAAGAGCATGTGTAATGATAGAACCACCTGGCTAAAACACAGCAAACGGATCTAA